TTGCCACTTACCCTAACCATGAAAAATGAATGCCTAACAGTAACTATAACCTAATTGTAACCCTGACACTAAAACCACATTTTGAGTCTCACACTCGTGGGGGCGGGCACTTTGTCCTCATAAGTGACTGTTGGTCCCCACAAAGATGCCTAAACCAGTACAAACACTCGCAGAGACACCAGTGCCATCTGCCCTCATCTACTCTTCTCTGGGGCAGCAGCCAACCCTCCGCCTGGTGCCAGTGCCCACTACCAGCATGATCCAGGCCAAGACCAGAGCACGCTCCCGCTGCAGCGGGGTGTCAGCGGGCAAATGGTGTAAATAAAGATCAGGTGGAAGAAAGCCAAACGATGTGTGGGATAGACGATGCTGGAGAATCGAGTCAGCTGCAAAACATAAACATTCATGCTTTCCATAGAATAACATGTTCTTTATATGTTCTCAGCGCTGAAAACCTAAAGTGTTGAAGCAGAAAATAAGAATAAAAGCTCAATATAATAAAATAAGATTCAAAATAAATTACGTCCTTCTGGAAGTCTCGTCTGAGTTGGTATTTTAAGCCATTTTAAAATTTCAGTAAAGTCTGAGGCAGAAAAACTGAATCAAAAGTTAAAAGTCAAAGTAAAGTTTAAAAGCTTTTCCCTCCACGGCTGCTCTCGCTGCTCCTGCAGGCTGTTTGTTTAAAATCCAGGATTCTTGAATCCTGCTCGTCTCGTCTCCGGTATGAAGCGAGCAGATGAAATGGCAGATGTAAATGTAAATGCCAAGAATAATAATAATGGATTGCATTTATATAGCGTTTTCAAGGCACCCAAAGCGCTTTACAATTCATTCACTCTCACATTCACACACTGATGGAGGCAGCTACAGATGTAGCCACAGCTGGTAAAGTGTGTTGCCCAAGGACACAACGACCAGGACAGAGAGAGCAGGGGGATCGAACCAGCGACCTTCCGGTTACAGATGTGCTTCCCAACCCCCTGAGCCACGGTCTTGCTTTTGCAGTTTGCATTCTGCAGTTTCAGTTTTCGCTCCTCTGCGGGAACGCAGCGCTCGGCCGCTGCAGGGCGAGCTGGAAAAGGTGAGTGTGTGATACTGACGGCGGCGTGCTGGGGCTGTAAAAGCAACAGGAAGTTAGTTGTTGTAGTTCGCCCTGCTGTTCTGGCTCATTTACCAACACAGTCGGCTGTTAGAGGCGAGGCCCTGATGCACGACTCATGGAGGAAATTATGGTAGTTTAGATCCTTTAACACATGATTGCTGCAATTTGCATCGAGTTGTTCTCCGTCTCTGCGTCGCAGCTCAGTCACAGCTCCACACAGAGACGTAATGAAACGTACTCTAACACAGCGCTGCACCCAAATGTAAAAACCACACCGATATACAGACACTTCTGCAGGTGGGAAACACTGTTAGCTGACTTATTGTCAATAATAAACTAATAAAGGCTGAAAAAGTGTTGTTTACAGTCTGGAAGCATTTGATTGGCCCATAAATGGAGTTGCAGGAAAAACGATGACATCATCCTGTTGATTTTTGTGGGTTCTTCTTTCAGATGAAGGATGTTTTGTTTCAGCACGATTAGAAATGAATTCAGTGATTTGTCTTTGATTATTCACACATTTACAGACAAGTGGAGAAAAGAAATCGCAGCTTTAGCAGCCATAAAAAATCACACCTCTGAAGGAACAAACAAATGAGCGAACCTAGCCCAAAGCGATCGTGCGCTCCAGTAAAGCTCAGCAAACTCTGAGAAGAATTAGTGTGGAGAAGAAGTAACGTCTGTGTGCCGACCTGAATGCTAACAATCTGCGGTTTCCTCGCAGCTCCTGAAGTCGTCAACTACGAACCTCTGGGCCTGGAGGCAGACATGTGGTGAGTAAACACGCAGAGCTTCATCCCAGCTGTGCGTCTGCTGTAAAATACATCGAGGATTTTCATGGTGTTTGATGTTCGAGATGTTGAAAAGCTGAACTCTGTTCCTCTCTCCTGCCTCCGCCCAGGAGCGTCGGTGTGATTACCTACATCCTGTGAGTATCTCAACCCCGCAGCAAACCTGCTCTGGCATAAACTGTATGTAAGCGATGGAGCTTTTTGAACCTGCTCTGCTTGTCTGACTGTAATTGAAAGAATGACAACAGCAACAAACCAGCCCGCCCCTCGTTCTACTACAACAACAAGAGTCGCCCCCTTTTGGCCATTAGAAAGAATGCAGGCTGGCGGCTTTTACACCTGATGGGAAGGGACCAGTTTTTATGTTTCACTTTGCTGTGTTTTCACTGGCTGAGCGTGAGCAGCAGCGTGTTTGCCAAGACGCGGCGATCTCAGCGGCGTCTCTCTGACCTCGGTGGGCGAATCTACGGTGGCCCTGAGAGCTCAAATGCACTGAAACATCAGAAATTAGCAGCAAAAAAAAATAATTCAAAAGCTCATAAAACGTGACGGCCCAGCTGCGAAAATCACGAGCTAACAGGAAACAGCTGAGCAAACACGCGTGTCCGCGATTATGAATCATGTGATTAAAACACGCGTTTCCTTCCATCTTTGATCTTTTTGACTCTTTTGTGCGAAGCCTTTGTTTTTTTCTTGATGGCGCTTCGTGTCACACCCAAACCAGCAAACACCCGCAGAGCGCTTTAAAGATGGCGTCAGAGAGCTACTGTTGTGATTGTGTTCGTATTAAATATCACGCTGCGAGTCGTCGACTGCATGCAGCCCACAGCTGCTGTATTTCCACGGTCAGCGGCTGGTTTTCACCTGAAGAACGTTTTGTTCCAACGTCATCATCAGTTTCTTTGTTCTTCGTGGTTTCATTTGAGGAAGAGTTGAGCTCAGTCACCAAACGAAGCCGTCACAGGGTCGGCGACACACTTCCTGTGGGCTCGCCGACTGTCACGCTGTGATGGGACCCGCTCTCGTCACACGTCCAATTATCCACTGACGGAAAAGGTTGTTTAATATAAAACTGATTTATACTAGTAAATTCCTGCAGTGTTTGATTATTTTTAAAGAAGTGGCCTTTTTAGGAGGATGTTTGCTCCGACACACTGAACAGCCCTGTTATTAAAAGCTTGTTTTTCCTGCTGCGCGCACTCTGGAACCTAAATGAGCCGAAACTCGTCACGATATTTAAAACACTTTAAACAGATCTTTGCCTCTGAGCCACAGATGGGATTTTCCCAGTCCTGATAATCTCTGCATGTAACTCGCACGTTAAGCTGTTTTTAATATTTGAAAACTTTTTTTATTTGCTCTGATTCTTAAATATTAGCACTAACGTGCACTGTTGTTTGAGGCTAGTCTGCTTAAGCTAATTGACTCTGGACTTTATCCTGCTCTGCCGAGTCTGCTGTGATCTTATCAGCATGTCGTTGGGTTGATAAAGCAGCTCGGAGGATCGCAGTAGTCTGATTGGATCCAACAAATTCTCCTGAATTCACGTAGTTTGGTCTTTAAAGCAGCTGTTTGTGTGCTCTGTGTTAGTGAAGCAGTCGCCTGCAGACGTGTCAGCACAGTTTAATTCAGCAGCAAAAGTTCACGTCCTCGACGACCCGCCGGTCGACTGCTGCCGGCTCTCGATGATCCCGGCGCCTCTCTGTGTACTCGGCTGAAGGCTTCCTGAGCTCCCGCGCACCTTTATCCTTCAAAGTGACACCTACACCAATTTTTCCAAAAAACAAATCGCACATTAGTTGCGTTTGCCTACACAAACATGCGAGCGTGCCAAACAAAACAAGGCGAGAGAGAGAGGGGGGGGTAAATGCCAAACGCCAACCTAAAGGTGTCATCAGAATATTCAATAATAAGCAGCTGCAAACAACACGAGCTTTTCAGTTTGCATGATACACAATCTCATACAAATGTGTGTGTGCTCACACACATGTGGGGTATTGATATCTTGTGGGGACATCTACCCAGTCCCCACAAAGACATGAATACAAACGCACACTCACACGTGCATCCCTGTTCGTGGCGTCCGCCCACACAGCTGTCACAGCTCAGCCTGGCAAGGTAGAAAATAGATTGTTCTCAGCTTCTTATCACAGCAGAGCAACAGAGAGGTGCGCTGACTCTTCATCTCTCACTGGCAAATGTAGTGTGTGTGTGTGTGTGTGTGTGTGTGTGTGTGTGTGTGTGTGTGTGTGTGTGTGTGTGTGTGTGTGTGGGAGCGTTCGGTGAGCGTGACACGATGACCACAGAATCATAAACAGTGCTCTGGGTAATGAAACGCGCTCTTATTTCCTCTTTCATCAGGCCTGGCGTGCCGTGCGCCACACAGCCTGGCATCATATGAGTGAAGGTGGCGCCTCTCTGCTCTGCTCACGCCCAGTCTGGCTTTCAGGCTGGTCACAGGGCTTGATTTCGGCCTGGTGCTCAGTGCACGAGTGTTTTGGAGAACCAGGAGGTAAAACGTCACCAGGAGTCCCGACGTCACGCTTCCCTGCTGATTGTATCGCCTGGCCTCGTAACGAGCCGCCGCAATGACTCGTTTGTTGTGAGCAGCTTTATACAGTCGATAAATTCATACATTTCCGCTCAGCCTGAGCTCGACCTGCACAGCTCCACGCCTCCAGATCACATGTTAATTAGCAGCTGGTGACGGGATGCAGGAGTCGGAGCAGAAGGGGAGGCCGGGTTTGTCGGGAACTGCTGTTCGGTTTAACGGGCTAAAGTCCGGGAGGCCGAGCCCTCGTTAACGTGCACGACTGCTCAGCCCTGCGTGTGCTGCGCCGTGGTCTGTCCATTGAAGCGTGCTCCCCTCAGTGCATCTGCTTTGTGTTCAGTGGAGGTGTGAAGGTGCATTAAAATTCCTGCACTCACACCGAGAGCGGTCCAGCTGGTTTCCCTGAGAGTGTTTGATAGCAACGCTTCACTAACGAGTCAGTTATTTGCAGCTCTTTAATCACATTCACTCAGCAAAGCGTTGTAAGGTTGTAGTTTGGATTTCAGGGGCTGAAGCTCATCAGCGTTTGGACTAAAATTCCTCTTCCTTTGATTACAAGACAGCTGAGCTGTAGTCAGAGAAGGTTCCACCTGATGTGATGCAGAGCTGGTTTGTTAAAGTCCTCACACAAAGATAAAAACCCGCCAGCCTGCACGTTTCTGACCTCTCCGTTAACCTTTCTCGTCCTGCAGCCTGAGCGGAGCCTCTCCTTTCCTGGGCGACAACAAGCAGGAGACTCTGGCCAACGTGTCGGCGGTGGACTACACCTTCGATGAGGAGTTCTTCAGCAACACCAGCGTGCTGGCCAAAGACTTCATAGCGAGGCTGCTCGTCAAAGATCCAAAGTATGTTCTGTTTCCGTTGTATCTGAGATCACAGCGGCCTTAGAGTCACATCAGAGCAGGAGCTGCTTTAATCACGACAAACGTTTCCATGCACAGCTGCCAGACTGCAGGGTGACTCCTTCAGACACAAGTCTGCTTTGAGGCCTTCCTGCGTATCCTGACTCGAGGTAGTTTGGTTGACGGTGTGATTTCCTCCAGTCAGCTGAACAACAAAGGAACACATTTAGTCTTCAGCTCTGAGTCTTGGCTGTAACAGCAGCGTTTAAACGACGCGTTGACTTCTAAATGGTCGCTCTCTGATTGGTCTCGTTTAATCGCTTTTAAAACGCTGACAGGAAAATTGAATAGGTGCTTTCTGCAGATATTCCAGCTACGCCTGCCTCCTCGCTCGGCGCCGTGCCTGTTGGCGCTGGCTCCTAAAATTGTTTGGACTGTTCCCTCGTTACAGAGTTGCTGTAGCAACAGCTGAATGGCTGCAGCTGTGCTCGAGGACAGTTACCGCCATCCAAGCTCTTTTCTGCTCGTAATTACGCCAGCTCCTTTCAAAACAACGGCGTGAGAACGAGCGGGCTAACAGAGGTGATTAATTGTAGGTGTGAGGATGATTTCATTTGGATAACCTTAAGTCAGAGAGGAGACGGTGAGGGGGGGGCATGCGCTGCTGTAAACAGAGAGACTTTACCAGCTTCGCCTGATGGGGCTTTCAGAGATGACGGGCCGAGCGCTTCGTAATGGAACGGCTTTTAATTGATCTGCGTCGAGGTTTGCATTCACTCGGCGGCAGGAAGATAATGAAGAGATGCTGTTATGAAGTCTGCTGGGTTAAAGCTGCACCAGCACAGGCCTGGAAGTCTGGGAACCTGTGTGGTTGGTGTGAATGCAGTCGCCTCGGCTGCAAACGGGGATGTGGTGGCGATCGGGCCGAGCCGAGAGGAAGCGGCGCCTTCGCCAGGTTCCCCAAAATCTATGTAGGACGTACGGAAACCTTTCGTGAACAACGGGCTGTTGTTGGACTGAGGCCGTCCCTGCAGCACATCGAGCTTTACTAAATATTAATCATTAATGTTGGTGCAGCACTCTGTCAGGTAACTTCTGCTTTGTTTGGATGAAATGTGAGCGTTTTAAAATCTGTCAGACTGTTGTCTGTCTCAGGAAGTAGCACCGAAGTGCACCACGTAGATTTGTTCCCTTTACTCCGACGACCACGCCGAGCTTCTCGGTACCGCCTTTCATGAGACGCCGCGTAGAGAAGCATCGAAAGAGGAAACTGAATATTCCAGGTTAACAAAGAGCAGCTGTTATATCTTTATTGCTCATTAGGTGCAGAGTGACAAAGGTCAGCTGTGTAATATCAGCAAGCGATTATTAAAAGACGCACAGAGACGAGGCTGCAGCCTGACACGGACGCACAGCTCGCACACCTACAGCCAGCTTACACTCACCCGGTGTGGGTGTCTGTGGACTGTGGGAGGAAGTAAACCCACACAGGAAGCCTGGCAGGTTCAAACAGAGGGCAGCAGGTTCAAAGCACACAAAACATTTTACAAATAAAACCAAAAACACATCTATAACCTGTAACTGCCTCAGATTAAAGCAACTAAGATGAAAACAATTAGGAGATAAATGAAAGTCCTGCTGCCGTCAGGCTTCGTGTCTCCATCCCAACTGTATGTTTCCTTTGTAAAACAAAATAATCAGCATTAATGCACAAAGAAAAAGACCGAAGCTGAACCGCAGCAGCTGGAACATCTGATGGTGAATCATCGAGTTTCCTTTTCTGTCCACAGAAAGCGAATGACCATCCAGGACAGCCTGCAGCACCCCTGGATCAAGGTGGGACTGATGTCGCCGTTTGGATTTTGTTGTCTGAGCTTTTCTAGCTTTAACATTTATCTCGTTTTGTTTCCTATAATCAGCCAAAGGACACTCAGCAGGCTCTGAGCAGGAAGGAGTCGGCCGTCAACATGGAGAAGTTCAAAAAGTTTGCAGCCAGGAGAAAGTGGAAGGTGAGAGTTTTCCATCGTACTGGTTTCTACGCTCACGCTGAAGCTTCAGGAGCAACAAAATACATTTCCCATGATGCACTCTGAAAGCTTCTTGCTACAAAGTCTCCTCATTGGTGCTTCGCTGTCACTGCTGATCGCCGCGGGGTCGCCGCAGCCATCAGATTCACCGCCGGCTTCTTTACTGCGTGTCGACTTCGGTTCGTCACAGCTGACCCGGCGACGCTCCCAGCCAACACAACGCAGCGGCGTTTGAAGCTGCGGCGATGCTGTCGCCATGTTTCTGTCTTCTGTTTGGTGACTCACAGCAGCTCCTGGCTTTGCAGCAGCCTTCATCTTTGAGGATTTATTTATGTTTGATACACAAAAACCTCCAAAACACACAAACGTTAAACGCAGCTCAGGCTCATCTCGAAATTCAGAGGGAAGAATAAAAAACTGCAGCGACACAAAGAACACCTGCTTTTAATAAATGAATTCTTATTAATTGGACAAAATCATTTATGTGTTTATTGATCTTTATACTGAGCAAAGGCTCAGAGATCATTTGAGGTCGTCAGTTCGCTCTCTGGTGATGATGGTTGATATATAATCTGTAACATCGACGTGAAGCTGGAACATTTGCAGACGTGTGAGGTCGATCCACGTGCAGGTCAGCGGGTTACGAGCGATGAATCGGAGCAAAGAACTCAACCAGAGCAGAAAATCGCTCTCCTGCCTGTCGGCGGGGATCCTTAACGTGACGTGACGTGAGCTTGTCCTGCTTCTGCACATTCACCGACCCCGTGTCTTCTCTGTTTGTCTCTTGCAGCAATCGGTCCGACTCATCTCCTTATGTAACCGCCTGTCCCGCTCCTTCCTGTCCAGGAGCAACATCAGCGTGGCCCGCAGCGACGACACGCTGGTAAGACGCAGAGCCTCGCACCAGCAGAGCAGCTTCATGCACCTGCTCCAGCTCTGAAGTCAGTCCTTATCTCCAGCCAAGAGTTAGAGTAACTGAGACGTGCAGCGCGAGCGCTTTCAGTTTGACTGAATGTTCAGTTACAGCTCAGGTATTTGTGGCCTGACGGCAGAAAACCATCTTTTCCTCATTCCTGCTGTGTGTGTGTGTGTGTGTGTGTGTGTGTGTGTGTGTGTGTGTGTGTGTGTGTGTGTCTCTTTGTTGGGAGGTTTACTGTACTTGTGGGACCGTCAGCCCTTATGGAGACCTGGTCCCCACAAGTTTGAAGCCATTTTTGAGATTCAAAGTGTGGTTTCAGTGTTAGTTACAGCTTGGTTATGGGTCAGGCTGAGGTTTAGGAATTCATTTTCCATGGTTAGGGTCCAGGGAAAGCATTATGTCAGTGAGATGTCCCCACAGGTCAAATGATGAGTCAGCTTGTTCGGACACACGGAGGCTTTTACGTTGTTAGCGTGTCCGTTTCCAGTCGACACGATAAGCTGGACAGATGTAAACACTGCAGCTTCTGTGAGGAGCTCAATCATTCACAAAGCAGCCGGGGCCGGCCCTGTTATGTCATCGAAGGATTACACAGCAGCTTCCTGCCGTCACAGGTGACCTGACAGGTAGGACTGGGCACGGTGAGGTCACAGCGCCCCCTGTGGTTCAGGGTAACAAACACAAGCTCTCTGATGGAGACTTCCAGGCACGGTTTAGTGACTTACCTGAAAAGCAGGTACAGGTGGGTGTTCGTGCTCTGAGCACAGCCCGGCCTGCTGGGACGGCTTTGTGAATAATTAAGTTTCTCACAGAAGCTGCAGTGTTTACACGTGTTCAGCTCATGTTACCGAGGTCAGCTCCACTAGTTCAGACAGCTCATTATTCCTGCATGCTCCTGCAGGACTGTTGTGGTTTCTTCCTCAAATGAACCTTTTGATTGTTGTCTGTCTTGTTTTTTAATCATGCATTCAGGTATTTGTTCTGCAGTTTGGATAAAAACATTTGAACTTGGCAGCGATGTGAAGCAGAAAGACTTCATGTGATTAGAGCTCGTTCTTGCTGAGCGTCTGCTTGCATCACCGCTCGATGAATAAATGGATGAGTGTGGTTACCGTCGCAGTCGGAAGGCCGCTTCTTTGTACTGCAGTTATTAAATCATTTCTGTGTATTTTGGAGGTCACAACGAGACCCGGAGGTCTTTTTCACGTGTGTGCGATCGAGGTGGGCATGGAGCTCCCAGCAGGGCCTCGCTGCTCGTGCATGTTTGTGCTGTTTGCAGCTCTCCGAGGTGCTTTAGTCACGGCTCGCCCAGCAGCGAGGTTATGTTGAGGAATGCGGCCAAAGAGTCGAGCTTGGCTGAGCAAACGCCACATCAGCCTCGCTCTCTCGCTGCCTCCTCGCCTCCCCGCCTCCCCGCCTCGCTCATCGTCGTCTCTTTGTGCAGCGAGGCGGCACGGCCCGTTGCTGCGCTGCACGGCTGACTCTGGCTGAAGGTGACCGGGTCACATGTCGCTGACAGAGTCGTAATCGCTGGATTCTCGGTTTAGATCAAGTGAGCAGCAGAGGATTAAATGTCTTTAACCGTGTTTCTCACCTGTTTAGGACGAGGAAGACTCCTTTGTGATGAAGGCCATCATCCACGCTATAAATGACGACAACGTGCCGGGTCTGCAGCATCTCCTCGGCTCGCTGAACAACTACGATGTGAACCAGCCCAACAAGGTGACGCAGACACGCTCAGCTCGTTCCTGCTGAACCCAACGAATCTGAAGCAGTGACGCAGAAGCACGTCTGCCAGTGTCTCTGTTCAAAACTGAATACATCAGAGTGAAGCAGGCGCCACCCTGAGTCATCCACACAGAGACGTGTGTGTGGAGCTGTGGATGTGCTGCCTCCATCTTTCTCTGAGAAGTCACGCTTTGAGTTTTAGACGCTGGGACCAGGTTAAGACTCGGTAACGAGTTAGCTTTGTGCTGAGGTTGGGAAACAGGTCAGACTCACACGAGCGCGAGCGGCGTTTCTTTAAACGTTCACATGTAACAAAGTCACCATTCAAACAGATAAAACCGTCACATTTGCAATTTTTATAACTAAATAACTTGTTTATTCTTCATGATCCCAAGAAATTGTGAAAATCAGGGAATAATTTTCCCTTTTCGGGCATTTTTCACGCCTGTGTAGGAACGCTGGCTCAGCGGGAGCAGCGATTTATTAAACTGAAGCTCTCAGTTATTCCACTGCAGGCACGTCTCACAGTATCCAGTGGGCTGGACTGCACCGCTGTGCTCCAGATTCAGATGAATCGTGCAAATAATTTGAGAAATGATTCAGTTGTTGTGCAGCCTCGTGTTGCATAATGATGTTTGTGATGATGTTTGATCCGGCTTGTTCCAGCTCTGCTCCGACGCAGAGAGCTGATTGGCTGTCAGAGTTACATGTCTGAGCTGTGCTCCACACTGTGTGGACGGCAACCCTGCTTTCACATCCGAGGCAAAACGTAGCAAAGTGGAATATCCACCCAGGAATAGAAAGTCTGACACAACCATCCCTCCACTTTATTAACCGCTTATCCAACAAATCCCAACGCCGACAAAATCATGACAGATTAAAAGTTGATTAAAGAATAAAATGAAAGCTTGAATCGTCTCAAAGATCTCCATAAAAATCTTTGTGTCTTTTCCATGTTTATTTAAAGCTGCCAGCTTCCCAGAAACTAGGTCGCCCCGTCCTGCAGCCGAAACACAGCAGAAGAAAAACAGCCTGACGTTTTAAACACTGACGTTCCACAGAGC